AGGCAGTATCACTACGGAAGTAGGATTGCCCAACCTTCCTTCCGAGGAGTGGCTGATGGGTTTGAACCGCCAGCCATCTGGTGAGCAGTCAAGTGCCTTAGCCACTATGCTACCAGAGCTCCCTAATAATTCCTAGAAACCTGTATTTTCATTTCCTTGATACTGCTTTGATAATTATTAAAAAAACTATGTGGAGAGCTAGAAATATATTCAATTCTGAGTGCTCAGATGGCAAAGATTAACACCAAACTTTAAAACTCCCTACTAATTTAAAATTTTAGTTTTACTATTTGTAAAGGAAATAGATTCAGTATCTTTAATTCTGGGGCAACTTTTCTAGACCAATGAGCTATGTCAGAGTCATAGAAGCTTCAAGAATTTGAAAACACAGATTAGCTCTACAAAATCATCTCTCAATTAGACATTGAAAATACTATTCTTTACCTCTATGGAGATAGAAAATGGGTAACTATAAGAAAAAAAAAAAAATTCCCACAACTCTCTCTTCAATAAAATATAAACAACAAGATTGGAAAAGTTGCTTCTTCTTCCTTTTTTTTTTTCATCATTGAAATTATACCTGGACTCTTTCCATACTAAATACGGTAAATCTATCACTCACAGTAGAGTTTGCTGAGACTACGACTGCTGCTGCTGTTGTGTGCCATCGAGTTGATTCTGACTCATTGTGACCCTACATGACAGAGCAGAACTGCCTCACAGGGTTGCCTAGGCTGTAGCCTTTTTGGGAGCAGATAGCTATGTCTTTTCTCCTGCAAAGTCGCTGGTGGATTGGAAATCCCAAGCTTTCACTTAGCAGCTGAGTGCTTAACTGTGGTGTCACCAGGGTTCCTGAATATATGACTAGAAGCACTAGTTGGATGAGTACCAAGAGGATAAAGAAAAAATTTAATAAAGCCTTTCCTTGAAGAATTCTAGAGTAAAAGCCTACAAAAGTGTCAGAGCTATGTTCAGAAAGAGCAAAATCATCATATTAAACAGCGCTTAGAAAAGAGAAAAGAAAAATGACTCCCCTGAGCTGGCAGCATGAGGAGGATGGGGAGAGTTCTGGTGACTTACCGGTTGTTAAATCCTTTGCTATCTGACAATTTCTGTATCTGATCAGTTTCATTTTTCAATGCAATCCAGTGTTCAGTTCTACCCACATATCGTTTTAGAAAGTTCTTGAAGAAAGCACAAAGGAAGTATGTGTTAAACAACCCCTGGAGTAAGTCAGTAATAAACTCTCTTTCTCAGAGGTGCTATCAGAAGCATCATAGCTAAGCTGATCTCTTATTCTATATAGAATCAGCTCATTTGGAGACTTTATCTTGAAACTAATCAATCAAACAAACTCAGAAGACAAATTGAACTCTCATTTTGACCTCAGACTGATTGTATGGCTTTCTGTGACTTGCTTTCCCTAGAGAGGAGATAGGCACAAATACAATGTCTTTTCTTGGAAGGAAATAGGGAGAAACCACAGATTAGCTCTATAAAATAATATATCATTTTATGAAAGTGTTTAGAATCTGTTATCTTACCATCTCCTTTTCAGGATCAATGAGAGCAAGAGTGGCACCTTGTTCGGAACAAAAGCTTTGGGCCGAGGTCCAGTTCCTTCTCATGGTAGAGATAAGGAAGCATTTCTTTTGGTATCCAACCCAATCATTTGAGCATGGAGAAACGTGGCTGGCAGATGGCACTGAGACAATATACTGGCCTGGACAATTGTACTGGCCCACTGTAAACAGGAAAATGGTTTCTTAGCAACAAAAGAAACTAAATACCCACAGCATGCAAAACAAGTTCAGGAGATTCTGTGCTGTACTAGGTGATAAAGTGAAGGATGAAAAACAAGAAGGATCATTTTGAGAATAGGAAGCAGATCTGGAACTGAGATGATCATCTATTGTGTCAGATCATCATTACAAGAAATGAGATATATGGGGTGTCTCTGTCAGAAATTGCAGGATTATAGAAAAATCCAGAAAATAATCTTTAAATAGAAAGGGTAAAGTACATTACAAATTCCAAGTAAGGTTTTGTATTTAAGGCTGAGTAAGAAGAATTTGATAATGCACTAGATTCAACAAATAGATGCAATAAATTGAGAGATGGAAGAGAGAGAAATTTGCAGGGAAGTAATTAAACATACAGAAGTCTATGGCAGAGGGTGTTTCATGAAATTGTAAAATTTTATCTTTTTAAAGGCACAGTTATATCCTGATATAGCCATATGTATTGGATACCATATTACTGCTGGCTTTCTAAATATAGTTTTAATTATCCATCCACCATTCTGTGGCATTTTAGATAAAAGAAGGGTTGTCCAATATCCTTGTAAGTCTATGGCTTAGATATTTTTTTCCTACCAATAGTGAACATGAAGCCCATGGTTTTTCTAACTAAATGTCTCTTTACTTAGAATCTAAATAAGTTTTCTTCATTCTAGGTCTAAACATCTGCTAAAATGTAATGATCTCCCACAGTAATGCATAAATCATAGACACTTGTAACATTCATAAGGAAGTTCTGGAAAACTCAAAAGTATTGCATTGATCATCAACTGAAGATAAGATTGTACTTAGTATTAATTAGGAAATTAGCCATATATGGTATATATGATGATCCTAAGTAAACCAGTATTTTTGCTTAATTAGATCAAGCCAATAACTATTGATTTCAACTGGGAATGCATATTACAGCTAGGACACTGAACAAATTTATGACATGATGACTTACCGGATAAGGCAATGAGAGCTATGATTAAAATGGTGATGAGGACCACATTCACCACAGCACATGGGACAGGAACTTGAAGTGACCCTTCATGATGCGCTGTAAAATGGGAGCTGGTGGCATTACCTGAAAAGGAGAAAGTTGATGCAGTCAGGCAGATTCTAGAAGTAAGAGAGGGATATATGATATCCTCTTCAGGCAGTGAAATGAAAAAAGTAGTTATGTATCTCCCCATGTCCTTTGTATGAAAATTATAAGTTAATTTTCTTTAAATTTTGAGTGAATTTGGAGTTTCATAATGGCTGCAAGGGAACAATCTACAGATAATATTGAGACCCTAAAATATCTCCCCAGTATATTTACTTAGTAGCTACACAAATTTTCATAATAATTAGCATAATTTTATTGTTTTAATCATAATCAGAACATTTATTACCCAAGAAGACATATAAAAAGAACATCTTGGGCACAATTCCTTAATCTCTCTGTAGTAACTTGCTGTTTGAGATGATGCAAATGAGGACAAATGTGGATAATATACTAAAACAAAATATTTAATATATAAAATATACAACTAATGATTAAAAATAAGGAGATTGGCAGTAATAATAGTTGGTGAATATGTGGAGCAATTGGAATTTTTGTATATTATTGGTGGGGTGTAAAATGGAAATACAATTTGGAAAACTATTTCTTATAGAATCAAATGTACACCTACCCTATGATCCTACAGTTCTACTCCTATGAATTTCTGCAAGAAAAATGAAAGCATACAACAGCTTTATTCATAGACTCAAATCCCAGAAATAACCCAATTATCCATTAATAAACCAAAAAAAAAAAAAAAAAACACTGCCATTGAGTGGATTCCTACTCATAGTGACCCCCATTGGGTCTCCAAGGTGGTAATTATGGAAGTAGATTTCTCTATCTTCCTTCTGTGGAGTGGCAGGTGGGTTTGAACCACCAGCCTTCTGGTAAGCAGTCAAATGTCTCAGGTACTGCATCACCAGAGCTCATTTATCTATTAATAGGAAACTGGATAAATAAATTATGGTATATTCATATAAGTGAATTCTACCTAGCAATTAAAAGAAAGGAGAGAACAACAATAGATGTATTGGATAAATAAATTGGATGTATGGATAAATCTCAAAAAAAAAGTTGAATAAATAAAAACTAGCCACAAAAGAGTATATACTACATAATTCTATTTACATGAAGTTTAAGAATGGCAAAACTAAGCTACAGTGATAAAAATCAGAAGAATGGTTGCCTTTATGTTTGTGGAAGGACAATTTAACTGGAAGGGGCCACAAGGGAACATTCCAAGGTGATGGCAATATTTTATCGTTAATAGGAATTGTAGTTATGCAATTTTGCCATAATTCATTAAACTGTACATTTGCGATTTGTGCTTTAATTGTATGTAAAATATAGCTCAATTAAAATTAATATAGCTTTATTAATATTTTTGAATGACTTAAAATATTTGCAATTCTAAGGGAAGTTAATAGTGAAAACAATTTTATAGATTGAATTACTGAGTGTGTAATGATGAAACAAAGTCAATATTTTCTCTCAACATTACAAGAATTTGGAATATGATCTTAATGATGGTTCTTTGGCACAGAAAAACAAGAAGGATATCTATTCTAGAATATAAATAAAAATTGAGAAAAGAGGAATGAGGATAATTTTGTGTAATAGTTTGGATTTGATATTTGCTAGCATGACTATCAGTACTGTTTTTTAAATCTGACTACACAAGAAAATATGATTCCCTATTATCTGGCGGTATAGTACCTAAGGCTTTGACTGCTAACCGGAAGGCTGGTCGTTCAAACCCACCAGCCACTCCTCGGAAGGAAAGTTGGGCAATCTATTTCTGTAGTGATATTACCTCGAAATCCAAGGAGGGGTCACTATGAGTCGGATCCCACTTGATGGCAGTGGGGTGGGATTATGTTCTCAAAGCTGAAATATGTTACTTGAATAATATTACAACTCACCATGAAAATAGCCTTAAAATGCAGAAAACTCCTGTTCTGGAAATGTCTGACTTTCATAAGTAAAAGATATGTCTATATAGGATATGTCTTAAAATCCACATATTTTGTTTCCTTAAAACATTTATCTAAGATTAAACTAGACAAAGAGTAGTTTCTTTCATGGTAAATTCTCATATCCTGGGTGTCAACATCAACTTTTTGCTCTTTCTGGTGTTTGTTTTTCCCAGCAGTAATCTGCATTCAGATTTTGCAAGAGAAGGCTTTACTTCACTCCTATCTAGTTCTATCACCGGAAGCAGCCCTTTCTAGGGAGGATAGCAAGTTCCGGGCTCAGTCTAGTTTCACTTCTTACCATGTGAGAGTCACTCCTGCTGCTTGGACTTAAATGCAGCAATAGCTCTGTTTCCTCAGGAAGTACTCACTAAACCAAATACTCATGCCCTTGAGAGCCTAACTCAGACCATCTATGGAGATGACTTGCAGAATGACACTTTATATCCACTAGTGATGGCAATTGTTACCCACAGAGGGCCTGGGTGGTACAAACAGCTAAGTTTTCAGCTACTAACCAAAAGATTAGTTGCTTGAATCTACGCAGAGGCACCTTAGAAGAAAGGTCTGGCAATCTGCTTTCAAAAGATTTCAGATTTGAAAACCCCTTAGAGCCCATTTCTACTCTGAAACACACAGGGCCGTTATGTGTCAGAATGACTGGACAGCGACTAGTTTGATTTGGTTTTTATTATTACTTACAGTTTGGTTTATCACTTGGGTAACAAAACTCTCCCCACAGCAAGCCTTTTCTCTGGCTATAAATGCTATTCTTTAATGGAGAGGTTGAAAATAAATCCACTTATTTCCTACTGAACCACACAAAGATTGTGTCCAAGGATTGTTTATATTAATCAAGCAACTACAAGGGCAGAGTAACTAATAGTTCAACAAAAAATCTGGATTGTTTCAGGAAAATTTAAAGATTCCTGCGTCAGGTACTTTAAATTATGCTCTCTCTCTCTACTTATTGACACAGTGGCTGCAACGATGGGCTCAGGTGTAGCAAGGATTGTGAGGCTGGCAGACGACCGTGCGGTACTTCATTCTATTGCACACAGAGTCGCTATGAATTAGAGCTGACTTGATGGCACCTAACAACAACAACAACTACATATGGATAGTTTTACTGTCATCATTTCTTTTCTTTTTTGCAGCTCACCTGAGCTAAAAAATTATGGTTCTCCTGATTCCCTAAACAATCTAACATCTTGCCCTTGTTACCCAAATTTGGATTTGTGTTCTTAGGCAAAAGACAGGTTTATCAGAGGTAGCTAAGGCTCTTCTACAGTAAACCAGTCTCAAACACACACTCAGAGGACAATCCTTCCTCTAGATTGTTCTGTGCCTGCACACCCTTTTATATCTAGATATTTCTTACTTATGAGTAAACTCCAGTTTCCAAGTGCTATTGTTTTGGGGTACTTTACTTTTAGAGAGGAAGAGGGATTAAAAAAAATGAGAACCCTCACAGAATAAAGTATAGAGAAGAAATGAAAAAAATCTGGCAATGGGAATAGAATAGATATGTGGACACACAATGGATAGAAAAGAGAAAAAGGTATATTATTAAGATGATAATATTTTAATTAAAAATAAAATATAAACATGTCTAATTCATGTAGAATTTGAAGCCAGTGTTTGAAGGGGAAAATAGAAAGCTAAAATGCAGGGAAAGAGGTCATGAAGAATATTGAAGCATAGGAATTCTTTCTTGGCTTTCTCCTAATGTATTACCACAGGGCAATGTAAATGCTCAGATAGTTATATAGTTATTCTCTCAAAGGTTGGGAATCTGCACGTTTCCAAATTCCTGGAGGACACTGTCATGGGAACACAGGCTAAGGCACAAACAAAGGCTATAGGCAAGGCAATCAAAGATGTATTTGCTTATGTGGAAAACAGAAGTTTCCACAAAGAGATGGAATGCCCCCTGGAGTATGTGCAAGTGACTATGACAGAATGATGGAGAGAGTACTCAACTAGAACATTTTAGTTTTCTAAAAATTTAAGTGATATAAACTGAACAAAGAAAAAGATCTTTAAAGATCTGAAATTCACCATTGTGGCTTCTTCTCAAGTCTCAGCTATCCTATCTTCTCATAGCTAGAGAGGTATTTACCTTTTCCCATTTTCTCTCTTATCTGGACTGAAACAGAACTTCAGTTCTCCAAAAGACAAAGCTCTATTTTTCCCACTAATTATGTACCATTATATATAATTTACATTATCAAGATACAAGCAATCAGATCTTACTTACTTTGTTTACCTTCCTCCTCATTCAAGGAACTGTCCTCCATATAACCTTCAACATCCATCTCTAATCTGTTCAAGGTTCCCTGGTTAATCTTAGGTTAAGTCAATCTGCAGTGAGAGTCTTGGCTGGAGCCCTTCTTCAGTCTCGATCTCCACAGGCATCTCGGGATTTATATACCTTTATGTTGTCTCCACCCCCTTCCTCTTGCCTCCTACTCGTTCAGTGACACCAGTTCTCTTTAATTTACACTCCAGTGGGCCAGACAACTTACGAGGTGTTGTTGTGGTGACATACGGATTTTCCCTACTGTCTGAAATGTGCTTTCTCACAATTGCAGGTGTAGCATAAAGAGACATGTGGGATTTTCCCAAAAACTGAGGTAGCTGTCCTTAATTTGGAGTAAAAACAAGTAGTTTAGGAGGCAGCATAATCTAAGTGAAGAATTTAAAGTTAGGAATTTAAGTCAGTCTGAATAGATTATAAGGTTTAATTCTGCATATATTATCCTAGATATTGATTTTTCTTCTTTGCTTTGAGATTCCTATCTTTGAGATGAAAGCAGTTTGGGGAAGGAGTGTGCAATGCATCCCTGAAATTTCATTTGTCATTTCACATCTGATATTTACTAAACATCCACTATGTGCCTGACACTGTTCCCTAAGGATTAATTGTTGAATATGAATGACATGATCTCTATCCTCATTGATCTCTCTATTCATCCTGAAAAAGTTTTACTTAGGAAGCTATGATGATCATTCAGGAGTGTGCCATTCACTTTTATCTGATGACTAGTTCTTTTAGTCTACCTGTTTAGGGATATCATCTAGTAAGTAGTCGCTTTAACACAGGAAATAGAAAGCTTGTGGTTCAGAACTTCCTTGCTGTATTCTAAAATTGTTTATCTTATCTGCTTCATTTTCTTGCTCAATTTTACTATTACTTAGACTTCCTTTATTTCAGCTCAGTAATAACTTATTATATTTTTTTTTTCCCATAGACTCTAGGTTATTCTATCCAGATACCTCTCAGGCTCCAGACATTTAGAGTATAATTTCTACAAAAATAAAACACTGCTATGTTATCAAACTCATCCAAATAAGTTATTAAAAGTTGATACAAAATGAATGCATGCCACTATGAATAGTGACTTAATGGAAGGATAGGGATTGAAGTATCACTTGGATTAATAATTTTTGTGCCTGAAATTAATTTCATCATAAAACATATTTATCATGTTTTAGGGTAAAAACATTCTGTTTTCAGAATAAAGCCTTAGTGAAAATGTTGGATGGGTTTGAAGTTATCACTCACAATGAGTTAGTTAGGTAATCAGGTGTGTTTGTCTATCTAAGGCACAAAGAAGTGCATGTTGGTTCTAAAGGGTCTTTTTGCTTCCACTCTTTTTGCATTTAATTTATTTCCTAGTAAATTTTCCATATAGCAGTCAGAGGGGTTGTTTTATTATTGTTAAGTCATTGTTTTGTTGATATTTTCAGCTCTTCTTCCTTCCCCCATTAATGGATTCCTATCAAAATTGCCATTAAATTCAAAGACCTTATCATAGTTGAAAAGGCTTTATACATACTCTGGTCCCTGCCTATCTCTCTTACAACTCTCCTCTTTAGTCACTGCCCTCTCCAACAGTAACTTCTTTGCTGTTCCACAAAACCCATTACAGGGGTTTTGTACTTTCTCTACAAGAGTCTTCCTCCACCTATCTGTATGTCTTACTCACTCCTTTAATTCAGTCATCTGCCAAGAGAGGTCTTTACTTGCCATTACATCTAAACTAAAGCCAACAGTTTACTTACGTTGATCTTTCTCTATAACATTTGTTGATACCTGATATATCATTGCTGACCATCTATTTTCCTTATTAGAATGTAAGCTACTTGGGGATAAGGACACTGTCAGATTTGTCCCTTCTATGTCTCTGACATCTGGCATAGTAACTGTTCTGGTTACCTAGTGCCACTCTGACAAGAATATACCACCAATGGGATGACCTTAACAAATAGGAGTTTATTCTTACAATTTGGAGGTTTTAAGTCCAAGTTCAAAGTGCCAGGCTCCAGGGGATGGCTGAAAGCCCCTCAACATTGGGGTCCAGCTCTGCCTCTTGCTCCCAGCCCACTGAAGCTAGAGGCTTTTCTTCACTCAGGCAGCTACTGGCTGCTAAGGCTAACAAGCCCAAGGTCGACAAATAAAATGACACAGTCCCGATGTTACCAAACCACACGGCAGGCCATTAATTCAAGCCCATTGTAAATCTCAAGGTCAGCAGAGCATGGCAGGCTGCTGAACAGTGACATGGCTACATGCAGGGTCTAAGCGTGCCACAAACTAGAGGTCATTCCCAAAGCTGCTGCTTATATATGGGAAGCAGACCGTATACCCAAAGCAGCTACTCAGCTGCTTGTGGTAGATCCCACCATGGACTTGATTGCCAGTGTCATCATGGGGAATAACTACCACCAGCTGCCCAGCCACTCAACCAGGCCCAGCCAAGTTGACACACAAACATAACCACCATAGTAACTGAACATCATACTTGGTAAAGTAGAAGGTCAATTAAAATGAGGGGAGAGCTCTAAGCAAGATGGATCAACAGAGTGGCTGTAACAATATGCTTGTACATACCTGCTATTGTGAGGATAGCACAGTACTGGATAAGATTTCATTTTATTATACATAGGGTTGCTATGAACTAGAATAGACTTGGCATTTAACAACAACAACAACAGTCTGTACGTAACACATACTCATTTAGTGAATAAGTGAATGAATGAAGGAATGAATAAAAAAATCTATATGAAAACTATAAAGATTCCAAAATATAGAATGCTACTTAGAGGGGCTTGTGGAATTTTCAGGCTGTAAATATATAACTCTAGACAGTCTGTCACAAAACATCAAGTGCATACTTGGATGCTATTAATGAATGATAAAGGAGGAATTATGTTTGGTACTTAAAAGGAAATAGTAGAATCTATTGCTAAAGTTTTTTTAATTTGGATTAAAGGGACTCCATATTTTAAGTATTTACTTATCCTCTTGTGGTTTGGAGATCTGAGTTAGAGTCTAGACACTGCCATACTTACCATGTTGTGAAGAATCCATGAGATGTTATCACTGTTATAAACCTACGATTATTTAAACTCTTTCAAATTGATGGGGTACAAATACAGAGAAAGAAAATACCTTGGAATACATTGATAATTTTTTCATGTATCTTTTCTGTGTAATACTTTTCTATAGCTGATTGGACTAACAAAGACATCATAGTCCAGTTACACCATTACTAATGTACATTTTCTTCTGGGGTGATTCCCACATAAATGTGGAAATCTAATATGTGTAGCTGAACACCAACTATCCTTGAAGTTTGAATATTCCACAACAGTTAGGCAGAGTGTCATTATGAAAACAAACAAACAAACATAGCCTTTACAGCCAGATGGATGATCGTTTCTAAAAGTTTCCCATTTTTTTCCCTATAGGCCAACTACCAAACCAAAAACCAAACCAGTTGCCTTCATATCAATTTCAATTCATGTGGGCCCACGTATGCAGAGTAGAACTGTGTTCCATAGGGTTTTCAATGGCTGTGATCTTTCGTAAGCAGATTACCAAACCTTATTTTTGAGATGTATTTGGGAGGGTTCAAACCACCAACTTTTTAGTTAGTAGCTGAGTGCTTAACTATTAGACCACTCAGGGACTCCATTGACCTTAATTCTGTTCCTTGAAGAGGCCAAACTCATTTTCATTTTGTAGGCTGTGTTCTTGCTCCTTTTACCTCTGTTCTTAGATTTCTCATGCCTGACTCTTATTTATATTTTAAGACCTCTGGTGGTGTAGTACCTAAGGCATTTGACTGCTAATCAGAAGGCTGGTGGTTCAAACTTACCTTCTTCCTCAGAAGGAAGATTGGGCAATCTACTTCGGTACAGATCCTGCCTTGGAAAGGAAGGGTCGGAACTAACTCGATGACAATGATTTTTTTTTTTTTTTCAGTTTTGTTGCGTCTTCAACAGGACTTCTACTAGCTACTTGTCTAAATTAGCTCTAGTTGGTCAGTATCTAAGGAACTCTGGTTTTGTAGTGGTAAAGGCATTTGGCTGCTAACCAAAAAGTCAGCAGTTCAAAACCACCAGCCACTCCATGGAAGAAAGATGAGGTAGTCTGCTTCTGTAAAGATTTACAGCCTTGGGAACTCAGTGGGGGGGTTCTACGAATTGGAATCAACTCACTGGCAGTGAGTTTGGAGTTTGGTTTGGTCACTATTACCTCACTCTCTTTCTTTTACTCCATAGGGCATATCTCTATCTGAAATTTATAGTTCACTTATTTGTAAGCTTTCTGTCATTATTATTATATATTTCTCAGTCCTAGAAGGTAATGTCTTTAAGAACAGGGACATGCATGTCTTATCCAATACTGAATCTCTAATATCTATAATAGGGTCTGATGAGTTCAACAGGTACATGTAGGATGGCTACATAAAATAATGTGTGTGTGCTGTTAGTTAGATAGAGACAATATTGATTTGAGTGAAGAGAAGAGCAAAGTACCAAATGTGAGTGATCAACATGGTAACACTGAGGAAGAAGAAGACATAGAGAGGTGTATGGGAGGTACAGACAACAAAGATGAACTCTTTTGCACAAACCAAACTGTGTTGTCAGTGAAGGCAAACATGGATATATGGGTGGATAGATGGGTGGACAGGCTGTATGTCAATATTAGGTATGTCAATGCAGGGGAGAGTGTGCCCAAGACCATGTATAGGGTTGGCAGATAATGTTTCTACAAGTGTATTGGTATGTTCTGTAAGAATTCCCAGGTATATAGCAGAGCTGACAAGGGACAAGGTTGTAGTCACTTATTGGTCATAGCCAGCTACCCAGAGGGAGTGAGTAGTTGGACCTGTGGGCTTGGGATCATAGTCACAGGGGACATCAAGCTCAATTGGCATAATATACTACACAAAAACACTGTTCCACACCCTGCTTTGGCAAGCAGCGACTGGGATCTTAAAAGCTTGCAAGCGGCCATCTA